AAGTAATCACATTATTTAAATTGAAATACAAAAAGATTTAAAGCAACTACAAATTTATCTATTTAGTTTTATAGTTAGATCATGAGTTCTTCAGTAAATAGTTGTGGCTAGTCCCTGGAACAGGGAGGGAACATTTTCATTTGGATGGGACTGCTCTATAGTTCTTATTTTTAAAAATTGATTTGCTACAGTCAAATTTCAATCTTAGTATTGCTTTATGGTTTCTGCTAAAACAATCACAAACTTTGTTTCAAAACCAGGATTACATTCAAAACTAGAAAATCAGAATTTTTTTAACTGTTCCAAAAGACATAACTCATCAATAAGTTTCATGGAAATGAAATCAATGTATGAGCAAAGACCACACACCAACCAGGGAGTGGACTGATTCTCCTTTTCTTACAGCTTTTGGTTGCTGCAGCATTCCTTGATAGGCTATCTCTTCTTGTTCATCCTGGCCTCAGGGACCACAGTGCCTCCTCTTCCTTTGTGTAAGTACTTTACCTCACCCTGGCTAGCCTAAAACTGATGTGAGTAATTTAAGGAAAGGCGGTCCTCACCTGGCCAATGCATGCAGTACTCTTAAGTACCAAGGCCATTTGTCACATGTATAAATCTAGTTTTAGCAAGAAATTGGAATCAGGTACTGATGTCTTTGGGGCCACTACCCAAGCAATTAGAATGCTAGTTATTACTTTTTATCTTGCTGTACTTATTTAGTTTTATTTCTACTTATCATCTTCTACACTGACATCTATTAGTATAAATGTTAACATTTATGATTTTTGCTTCCTAGGAGAAAAGTTTCTCCTAGGAAGGTCTGGTTCTTATTTTGCTTCACCAATATCTCCTTTGTGTCTTGTGATTGTCAAAGCCCAGTTATGTTGGAAAGATATCCTGAGGAAACTGACTGTATATGTTACCAATGGACTTGTTACAAGTATAGAACGTGTTGCTATATTTAAGCTACCCAAGATGACTCTCTTTTGTTGTGGAGTCTTAAATTACATCATCGATATCACAGATTTTAAAATGATTACTTATATAGAAAATCATTAAAACAAGATATGTCTAGCAATCATAATGAGGGCTGTGTGTGTTAGGAGGTATTTTCCTGAGTTCAGCCATTTCATAAACAAGTTCTAACTTGTTGGCAGGATCAAAAATGAGCTCATGTTCCCAGGCCCTGAAAATCAATTCTGATCCTGCTTCTTCAGCTGTTTCATGTTTTTCTGTTAACCAGTAAACTGTGTAAAGAAGGAAGATGCTATTATCCTGTTATCTAAACTAAGGCACACAAATCCTATATTGGTTGCTTGTTTAACTTAATTGACTAAGGGCATCTTGCATATTTCTTTGTTCCTTTATTCTAAAATTTCCAGTCAGAATCCAGGAGGGGACCAGACTGTAACACCTGACTCAAGGACCCTGATCCAGATGACCCAGATCAGGTCCAGTCACCAATGTTAACTACTTTGTTTAACCCCTTGTGTCAAATATGATTGGTTAAGGCAATAGACCACCTTTATCTCCATCGCTTTATGTTGCCATCCTACAAAATTGTTGTACAACTTCCCTTTAGGGAGTCAGTTCATATCCTGAACTTGCTGCCTTCCTGAGTGCTCAGAAAATAAAGCTTTCATTTTTAAACTTCCATCTCTAAAGTGACTTTTCTGTTTCCCACCCTAACCCAACTTGTGGAAGTGAGAGAGCAAATGAGAGGGAAAATTTGTTTTAAACCATTTAAACTCATTTTTAAAGATAAATGAATAAAAAACATCAACAAGAAATAAGAGCAAGATATCATGAATAAGCACTTCAAAAACAACAAAGGCACACCAGTGCTCCACAGTTATAACCTCTCTAAAATGTAGGAAAAGCATCGTTAAAGCAAAATGAGATATAGTGAGTATGTACTAAAAGTTTAAAATTAATGAAAAAAATTTGGGTTTATAGAGAAATAGGAATTCTTACACAATATGTGAAGATAGAAATGGATACAAACACTTTATAAAATCTTTAGTCTTTATTGCCAAAAGTTGAGCATGCACGCAGACACACCACACACACACACACACACACACACACACATGTTAGTATGATACCATGTCTTATATTTTATGTTTTTACTAGAGAGGCATGAACAAACATTTCCTCACTACAGATAAGAAATTAAGGACACAATAAAATGATAACTCTATCCAAGGTTAATATAGGCAACTCATGAATTTAACTGAGTGCAAGGTACAAGAATCTCTCTCTCTCTCTCTCTCTCTCTCTCTCTCTCTCTCTCTCTCTCT